CGCCCGAGGCCGGCGGCATCGGGCCCTGGCAGCCCACGAGGCTGCAGCGATCGCGTTGGTTCGCTGCCGAGCGGCCTCTGCGAGCAGGATCGGCGTTGGGGAGCGCGGGGTAGGTCTGGAGAGCAGCGTCGGGGGCGGGGGGGCCGCAGAACAGGCGGGACAGCAGTTCTGGCCTGCGGCGCCCTGTGCTTAGGTTCGGGGTGGGGAGGAGGAGGAGGAGGAGGAGGAGGAGGAGGAGGAGGAGGAGGAGGAGGAGGAGGAGGAGGAGGATGAGGAGGAGGAGAAGGAGGAGGAGGAGGAGGAGGAGGAGGAGGAGGAGGAGGAGAAGGATAAGGAGGACGAGGACAGAACCTTCAGAATCGCTTCTTGGAGCCCTCGTGGGACTCTTTTGGGGGATCTTTGGGTCCTCTTTGGGCTCTTTTGGGGGGTCTTGGGGGGCCATGTTGGGGCCCTCTTGGGGCCATCTTGGGATCCAATGGTAGCCCTGGAAAGCCGCTCGGTTCCATCTTGGAGGCCATCGATCAAAAAGGGGGGGTCCCGATGTTCGTCACCCCTCCTGGGGCCATCAGAATCGCCTCGCCTCTTGGGGCGCTCTTGGGCTGCTCTTGGGCGCTCTTAGGGCCGTCTGGGGGGCCTCTTGGGCCCCTCTTGGGCCTGCCTTGCGTAGGCCAGTTGAAGCTTCAAAAGCGCATTGGAAGCAAAATGGCGCGAAGTTAACTATCATTGATTCCTCTCGCTTCGCGGGGTGCACGTCCGGAGCACGTACAGTCACGTCGTCGCGGAGCCTCTTGGGAGCCTCTTGGGGGCCTCCTGGAGGCCTCCTAGGAGCTTCCTTGGGGACTTTTTGGGGGCCTCTCCCCCCTCACTCATTTTCATACTCCCTCCCCATATTTCTTTCCAGCGCCGGCTCTAATCATGGGCGCCGCTGTGACCAACTTCCACCTGGCTGGCGCTGCGCCGCAGTTCGCCCAGGGTGGAAAAATGACATTGCACTCCAGTCGCTGTGTGGCCTTTGGGGTGCTTCTTTGGAGCCTTTGGGAGGCTTCTTGAGGACATCTTGGAGGCCTCTTCAGGTTTTTTTGGGGCCCCTTGGGGGCCTCTTGGGTGCCTCTTGGGGCCTCTTGGGGGCGCCTTTGGCCGTATTGGGGCGGTTTTGCGCCGTTTCGCCCCTTCGGAGGCCGTCTTGGGGGCCTCTCGCGGCCGCCTTGGGGCCGTCTTGGGGTCTTCTTGGGCCGTCATAGGGGCCTCTTGGACCGTCTTGGGGGCCTCTTTGGGCCGTTTTGGGGTTCTGTTGGGCAGTATTGGGGCCCTCTTGGGGGCTTCGGGGCTGTCTTGGTCCGCGCAGAGCCCATCTGGAGCCGTCTTGGCACCCTCTTGGCCCTTCAAGAAGCCCAAGAAGTCGAAATCATGGATTTTCTATAGGTTTTGGTAGGTTTTTGAGCCCCGGGAGGGGGGTGGGCACTTTGGTCCGCTCCTGTGGCGCAGCTCCCAGAGGGGCGTTCGGGGGGAGACATAATTAATAATGTAACACAATGCGATATGTGGCAATTATGCAATCATTGGATACATTGGGTACGTTGCATTATCGCCTCCGCAGAAAACTCTGCAGGGTGTTTCAGAGCACGTTCAGTCCAGTCGTTGTGGGGCCTCCTGGGAGTCTCTTGGGAGCTTCTTGGAAGCTTCTTAGGGTTTTTTTTGAGCTTTTGGGGGGCCTCTTTGGAGCCTCTTGGGGCTTCTTGGGGACGTCTTGGGCCGTCTTTGGGCGCTTTTACGCCGTCCGGCCACTTCGGAGGCCACTTTGGAAGCCTCTCGCGGCCGCCTTGGGGCTCTCTTGGGGTCCTCTGGGGCCGTATTGGGTCTTTTTGGGCCGTCTTGAGGGTTTTTTTGGCCGTCTCGGGGCCCTCTTGGGCCGTGTTGGGGCCCCCTTGGAGGCCTCTTGGGCCGTTTGGGGGCCTTTTTGGAGGCTGCTTGGGCCGTCATGGCCTTCAGAGAGCCGACAAAGGCGAAAACGTTGAAATTGTCCCAAAACTTTAGGAGAATCAAAGATTTTGGCCTCCGGAGGCGCTCTCGGGAGTCTTCTTGGGGGCCTCTTGGACTTTCTTCGGGGCCTCATGGGCCCTCTTGGGGCCATCTTGGGCCGTCTTGAGGCCGTCTTGGGCTGTCTTGGGGCCATCTTGGGCCGTCTTGAAACTTTCTTGGGGCCCCAAGAGGCCGAATTTGTTGATTTCTCATAGGTTTCTGATGTTTTTGAAGCCCAGAAGGGGTCCGCCACCTTTGGGTCGACGGAAGTGGCGTGGCCCCTGGGGGGGGGTTAGGGGGGGAGACATAATAATGTAACACAATACAACGCGTTGCAATTATGCAATCATTGGACACATTGGATACGTTGCATTATCGCCCTCGCAGAAAACGCTGCCGCTCAGCACGTCACCTCCGGACGTGGATTCTACAGGCTTACGCCACATCTGCCGACCCCTTCTGTGACTGTTGCGAGGCCAGG